TACTACACACACACAGACTCAACTACAACACACACAGTCTCTACTACACACACACAGGCTCTACTACACACACACAGTCTCTACTACACACACACAGTCCTCTACTACACACACACAGTCTCTACTACACACACACAGTCTCTACTACCACACACACAGTCTCTACTACACACACACAGCCTCTAATACACACACACAGTCTCTACTACACACACACAGTCCTCTACTACACACAACACAGTCGTATCTACTAACACACTCACAGTCTCTACTACACACAAACAGCCTCTATCTACACCACCACAGTCTCTACTACACACACACAGCCTATACTACACTACACACAGTCTCTACTACACACACCAGTCTCTACTACACAACCACGTCTCTACTACACACCCACAAGTCTCTACTACACACCACACAGTCCTCTACTAAACACCAGTCTCTACTACACACACCACAGTCCTCTACTACACAACACAGTCTCCTACTACACACCACAGCCTCTACTTACACACACACAGTCTCTTCTACTACACACACCAGTCTCTACTACACACACAACAGTCATCTATACACACACACAGTCTCTACTACACACACACAGTCTCTACTACACACACACAGTCCTCTACTACACACACACAGTCTCTACTACACACACACAGTCTCTACTACACACACACAGTCTCTACTACACACACACAGCCTCTACTACACACACACAGTCTCTACTACACACACACAGTCTCTACTTACACCACCACACAGCCTCTACTACACACACACAGTCTCTACTACACCCACACAGTCTCTACTACACACACACAGTCTCTACTACACACACACAGTCTCTACTAACACACACAGTCTCTACTACCCACACACAGTCTCTACTACACACACACAGTCTCTACTACACCACACACAGCCTCTACTACACACACACAGTCTCACTACCACACACACAGCTCTCTACTACACACACACAGTCTCTACTACACACACACAGTCTCTACTACACACACACAGTCTCTACTACACACACACAAGCCCTCTAGCTACACACACACACCGTCTATACTACACAACAACACAGTCTCTACTACACACACACAGTCTCTACTACACACACACAGTCTCTACTACACACACACAGTCTCTACTACACACACACAGCCTCTACTACACACACACAGTCTCTACTACACACACACAGTCTCTACTACACACACACAGTCTCTACTACACACACACAGTCTCTACTACACACACACAGCCTACACACACACACAGTCTCTACTACACACACACAGTCTCTACTACACACACACAGTCTCTACTACACACACACAGCCTACACACACACACAGTCTCTACTACACACACACAGTCTCTACTACACACACACACACAGTCTCTACTACACACACACAGTCTCTACTACACACACACAGTCTCTACTACACACACACACAGCCTACACACACACAGACTACACACACACAGCCTCCACTACCTTGACACGCAACGTCTCTTCTCCGGCTGTCTTGGTGCCGAGCCCTCGACCTGCAGGACCGTGTCGACACTGATCTTGCCAGACGAAGGGCGGTGACACGGGGGTTGCAAGCCCATACGCGTCGTGGTGGTGCTGCGGAGATGGTGGTGGTGGCGGCGGAGATGGTGGTGACAGTGGCGGTGGTGGAGATAGTGGTAGTGATGGAAAGATAGTGGCAGTGGTGGTTGTGGCGTTGGTGATGGAGAGATAGTGGTGGTGTTGGAGATGGTGGCAGTGGTGGTTGTGGCGTTGGTGGTGGGGATAGTGGTGGTGATGGAGAGATGGTGGCAGTGGTGATTGTGGTGGTGATGGAGAGATGGTGGCAGTGGTGATTGTGGTGGTGATGGAGAGATGGTGGCAGTGGTGGTAGTGGCGTTGGTGGTGGGGATAGTGGTGGTGATGGAGAGATGGTGGTGGTGATGGATAGTGGCAGTGGTGGAGATGGTGGTGGTGATGGATAGTGGCAGTGGTGGTAGTGGCGATAGTGGTGATGGAGATAGTGGTGGTGATGGAGAGATAGTGGCAGTGGTGGTTGTGGAGATAGTGATGGAGATAGTGGCAGAGAATCGTGGCTGGTGATGGGTGGTGATGCTGACAACTCCTTAGCGTCCTGACTGTTTATTATTTATTTATGTGCCTCCAATCAGTGCGCACATCCTGGCCTGGATCTGTGGCGGCGGCGAGCGCTGATTGGACGGCTCCTGCAGGGCCCTCTGCGAATATTTAAGTGACATTCTCGGGCAATCAGCTGCGTTGGCCCGGCTCCCCGCTTGCCCCATCTCGCTCGCGTGCAGATCGCGACCCCTAGTGGCCAATTCTAGATTTGAAGCTTTCGTGACTGCAATGATTCATATTATCAGGTTTTTTCGGTAAAGTCACGTAGGTAAAAAAATTAAATTAATAAAAGTTAAATAAAAATTAAATAAAAATTACGACGTTTCGGAAGCAACACAAGCTTCCGTCTTCAGGTGAAAAATCCTAAGAATATGAACCCTAGTGGCCACTTGGATCTCCACAACCATCTTGGCACCAGGGACCGGTTTCGTGAATGATAATTTTTTCACGGACCGGTGGTGGGGGGGGGTCATCATTGGGTCTCTCCCCCTTTTCAAAGAAGTTCTCCAGCGACGTTTGTTTTTTTTTACTCATTTTGGCTACTCGGGGTTAGCAGCTTGTGGGCTTACCAACACTAGATTTGAAGCTTTCGTGAATGCAAGGATTCATACTGTTAGGTTTTTTCGGTAAAGTCACGTAGGTAAAAAATACAATTTTAATTTTTTTATTTTACTTTTAATAATTTTAATTTTATTTTTTACCTACGTGACTTTACCGAAAAAACCTAAGAGTATACTTACCAAAACTGTGACAAGTGCGCCGTTCACCACCAAGTGGCGGTGACGTCACCAGGGCGCTTGTGCCAGGCTAGATGCTGTTTGAGGCCACGTGAAGTTGTCGAAGGCCCGCTGGCAGGAGGTCGGCAGACCCAAGTGCCACGGGTCGACTGATTGAGAAGACTGGCAGATGCACTAGTTGTGTTCCCCATTGTTGCCAGCGCTTTAGCCGCCCGGCGTTCAACTCATTGTTGTGAGCGTCGCTCCTCTGCCCTCCGTTGTTGCTGGAGGGCGACTGCCTCCGACTGCTCAGTAGCAGCAGCGTCCTTCACGAGCCTCCTCCACAGAGGCCGATCTTGACACTGCTGGTACCAGTCGCCAGCAAGTCCATTCAGCCCCACATCCTCCTGTACCGCATTAGTCGATCTCCTCGCTAGCCCGTGCTCGGGATAGAGACACCGAACATCGACACCCCGAGGACACAGCCCAGAACATCGTCACACTGCGGTTTGAGTAATCTCATGGATTTTGCCCATAAACCAAATAAATGAGCATATTTGCCCATGTGATGACTTAATTTGATTGGCTCCGTTGATCGGTGGACGGCTATAGTTAAATCATTAACATTTTACATACTACTACACGATCTAACCCAGCACGAACTAATTATGAATCAATATTATTCGACAAAATTAACTTTTAAACGTTTTTTAAAATATTTTGTTCGTGTGCCATTTAGAAAGGCCATTGCCCGAAACGTCACCTGTTAAAACATTTCCTCCCATTTTGGGGGTCACTCAGTTGTTTTGTGTGTGTCGAGTTTTGTTTTAAAATGTTGTACCTACTTTCAAAAGCGAGACGTGATTTATCGGTTCATCTGGGGGTTAATGCGCGCGTGCAAGTTGGCGAGGTGGCAGCCAAGACACGGTAGACCGCACGCTGCTCTCACGCACGATGGCAGCAGCAGCAGCAGCAATGTGGTTCGGGAGCTCGATGCAAATGTCAAGGTGCGCTGGCCACCACGAAAGGGCCTCGGGAGAGAGAGAGAGAGTTCGTGTCTTTTTCGATTTAAAGCTTTCGTGACTGCAGGGATTCATCTTCTTGGTTCTTTCGGTAAAGTCACGTAAAAGGGAAATAATAAAATAATAAAACTAAAAATAACAAAATAATTCTCACGACGTTTCGGCCACAACGCAAGCAGCCGTCCTCAGGTGGAGAACAACTCCCGACAGACCTGTTTTCCACCTGAGGACGGCTGCTTGCGTTGTGGCCGAAACGTCGTGAGAATTATTTTATCATGTTTGATTTTTATTATTTCCATTCTACGTGACTTTACCGAAAGAACCAAGAAGATGAGTTCGTGTCTTGTCGCTGTTCCTCCTCCTCCTCCGTCGAAGGAGCGCGCAGACAGACCACAGCGGCTTCACGACACGGTCCAGTTTGAGTTGCATGGCCAGTCGTGCTGCCCTGGTGTGTTTTTAATGCATTTCTATGGGTCTCTGTGTCTTTCTGGATTTCTGTGGCTATATGGGTCTCTACTCTGAGTATCGATGTATCTCTGGCTCTCTATGAACGCTGGGGAGCCGGACAAGCCCCTCTCTGCACCAGCGTGGACGGCACCCTCGTGGTGTTCACCTTCTGAAGCGCTCGCTCATCACCGTGGCGTGCGCGATGACCACCACCACCACCACCACAACAACCACCTCCACCACAACCACCACCACAACCACCACCACCACAACTACCACCACCACCACAACCACCACCACGTGACTTTTCTTTTGTGTTGTGCGCGATGCTTTTAGCGCCACAGCGCGTCGATTTGTAGCGTTTATTTTCATTTGTGTTGCTGGTGACTTTGTGTGTTTCATATTAAAATCGCCTCCAGTGCTTTTGCTGCTGCCGGCAATAAAAGTTGTTTAAAAGTCTAAAGTCTATGCTTTTGTAATGTTTCATAGCTTGGTTGCATGGCCACAATTGCACTAACATGGTGTGTTTTTAATATCCTGCATCTTTGTGGGTTTCTGCGAGTCTCTGTCTTTCTCTATATATCCTAATGATGGTACGACTTACGAAGCAAGGGTCATTTTCAAGTTCACCACCTGTGCTCAGCACTGTGCCACTACGCTGCGTTTAGCCACCCGGCACTCCGCTCGTTGTTGTGAGCATTGCTCTTCTGCCCTCTGCTGTTGTCGGAGGGCGACTGCCTTCAACTGCCCAGTAGCATCCTGTACGAGCCTCCTCCACAGAGGCCATCGGAGGTCGCTCATGCTCAGCTTCTGCTCCCGCCGTCTGGAATTCTGTCCCTCTCGAGGCTCGGCGCGGTTGAGACTCCGTCGCTGCCCGATGTTCAAGTCGAGACTTCGCGTGCGTAGAGCCAACTCATTTTACTTTTCCTGATAACCGTCTGGAGATGCGGCGTGTGCGTACGGACGCCAATTGGCGCCGCGATTGTAGCTTCGACGGTGGCCGCTCGGAAGGAACGTACGCCGGATGACGCTCGCATGCATTGCACCGATGGCGTTTAATATTAAACAGCGAGGAAGACAACAGCTTCAAACAAACGCCCGCCCGCCCGCCCATTTATAAATTACGCGATCTCACACGCACACAGATCACCCGCGCAGCCCGCTTGTCAATCCACTGCTGGACGAGAGCGTCCGGCCTTGCCCACGCTGAGCGGGGCGAGGCGAGAGACATGTTTGACCAGACCTCATCACGCTGGTCGGAGCGGGGTTGGTCAGGATGGAGCGAGCACAGAAAAGTAGTGGTGGGAGTTTGCTGCGCTGCCTTCCAGCTGCGCCTACCCTTGCACGCGCGGCTGCTCGTCCATCCAAAGCCCTCGACAGGGTCCCCCCCCCGCCCCCCACCCTGCTTTGCTTGTGAGGTGTCGCGGGGATTACTCTGTACCAGAGGTCGCAAACGGGTTTTGATTCCTTACCCGTACCCGGCCGCACCAGGGTCGCAAATGGGTACCCTTACCCTACCCGTACCCTTCCCGAAATGAGTGACAAACGGTTACTCAACAGTGACTCACGACCTACCCGTACCCGGCCGCACCAGGGTCGCAAACGGGTACCTGTACCCGTACCCGGCTGGGTACGGGTAGCCGGGTATCGGGTAGGGTACGGGTATCGGGTACCCGATTGCGACCTCTGCTCTGTACAAGACATCCAGGGCGAAGCGGAGGCCCCCCCGTGATCAGCGCACCGCGCTATAAACCGTGCGGACCCCGGGTCATTCCCGGGGGCACGAGTGAAACCGGTGCCGGGTAACATTCGATTTCCAACGCCGCTGTGACGATTGGTCAAACGACTCCAACGACTGACGCGGCGTGGGGCCTCGATATTTAACATCGCTGCACAATTTGGCCGTGACCAAACGGCAAGCTCGTCAGGCAGTGGGTTGGCAAAGCGCTGTACATTCCATTTACGCTAAAACCTCCAACAGCCACAATTCAGGGCAATTGCGGGAAAGGCTCCCTACAAATAAACAAGCCAGAAACTCCGGCATCTCTCCTCCCCTCGTCGCACGCTGATGAAGTTGCGCATGCCGAGCGATGCTCAGGGAGGCCTTCATCCAGCAGTGGATCGACCATGGCTGATGATTTCAAATGCAGCTGCTGCTGATAATAAAGGCTGTTTATAATGCTTCTTGTGCTGCTGCTGATGATTTAGAGGCTGCTGCTGATGTCAGAGATTGCTGCTGCTTGTGACAATGACAGCTCTGCCGCTGCTACTGGCGACCATGTTGATAATGACGACGATGACGACGACGACGACGCCGAGTGCACCGGACCCCAGCGCTCTTCGCCCCCAACACCTCGGCTCCACGTCGTCATCCGACAGTGCCACTGCGAGAGCCTCCCTCCACCCTGCATTCCCCCGCAGGTCAGGTGGGCTTCACGGCCGTCCCCTGCGGCCCTTGCAGCCGCTGCAGCTGCTGGTCCTGTTGCCGCTGCTGCAGCTGCCTCACAGGCGGCGGCGGTGGCGGCAGCGGCGGCGACGGCACCGCCGATGCCGCGATCCTCTTGCCGGGCGCCGGCTCGACGTGCATGTCGAACCCGTGGAAGTTATCGCGCAGCGCGCGCACCGACCGCTCGTCGAGGCCGAACTGGTCGGCGACGCGGGCGTCCGAGCGGGCCGCGGGGCCCGAGCGCTCCAGGCCCAGCAGCAGCACGGCCTCGGCCACCGTCACGCGGCCCAGCGGCACCGACGAGACGGACGCCGCCGCGTGCGGCGAGTCCGCCAGCGCCGACGGGAGGTGGACGAGCGGCTCGCGGTGACGCGGGGACGAGGACGGTGCTGACATCGCGGCTCCCGTCGGGGTGCGGAGGCTCATCCACTCGTCTTCCAGAACCTGGGGGCGGCGGGGACGGGCCGACATCGTCACGAGCGGTGACGCAGCGGATGGAGCTCGCGGCACGGCGAAACCCGGCGACCACAGTTTGATTCCCGCTGACGGCCACCGTCACCGGTGACGATTAATTGAACCGGCGGTGGGTTTACCCCCAGATCAGCTCAGCCACAAATGAGTACCCGGTGAGGTGCGTGAACGTCGCCACTCGGGAGATGACGGCGTGGGGCCCTGGCCACCACCCCTTGTGTGCTGTGCCGGTCTCGATAGCAGCTGCTCACTCAGAGCACTTTGCCCAACAGCCTCTCCTAAGGCTATAGGGGGGACCTTTGTATTTGTTTGAGTGGTGGTGCAACACACCGAGTGACGGTGACGCTGAGTGACGGTGTGTGTGACGCTGTGTCACAGTGAGTGATGGGAGTGGCGGTATGTGTGTCACTCTGTGTCACACCGAGTGATGGGAGTGGCGGTGTGTGTGTCACTCTGTGTCACATCGAGTGATGGGAGTGGCGGTATGTGTGTGATGCTGTGTCACACCGAGTGATGGGAGTGGCGGTGTGTGTGTGACGCTGAGTGGCGCTGAGTGGCGGTGTGTGTGACGCTGTGTCACACCGAGTGAGGGGAGTGGCGGTGTGTGTGACGCTGAGTGACGGTGTGTGTGTCACTGTGTCACATCGAGTGATGGGAGTGGCGGTATGTGTGTGATGCTGTGTCACACCGAGTGATGGGAGTGGCGGTGTGTGTGTCACACCGAGTGATGGGAGTGGCGGTATGTGTGTGACGCTGAGTGGCGCTGAGTGGCGGTGTGTGTGACGCTGTGTCACACCGAGTGAGGGGAGTGGCGGTGTGTGTGACGCTGAGTGACGGTGTGTGTGTCACTGTGTCACACCGAGTGATGGGAGTGGTGGTGTGTGTGTCACGCTGTGTCACACCGAGTGATGGGAGTGGCGGTGTGTGTGTCACACTGTGTCACACCGAGTGATGGGAGTGGCGGTGTGAGTCACACTGTGTCACACCGAGTGATGGGAGTGGCGGTGTGTGTGTCACTGTGTCACACCGAGTGATGGGAGTGGTGGTGTGTGTGTCACACCGAGTCACACCGAGTGATGGGAGTGGCAGGTGTGGCTGGCGCTCCTCCGCTCACCTGTCCCGGCGTGTCCGTGGAGTGGACGCGTACGCTCTGCAGGTGCGCCAGCAGCGTCTCCTCGCGCGCTCGCAGCTTTTCCGCGATCGCCTCTCGCTCTGGGGGGTCACGGGGGTCACGGGGGTCATGGGGGGTCACGGGGGGGGGAGGCTCAACGTCAACAGGCTTCAACACGCGAGCATTTCCACGTTTTGTGAATCCGCTGCCGGATGATGAGGACCTCTCCGCGCCGCGCCGGTTAATTTTACCGTACTTCACCATGCCGGTCCGCTGGGTGGGTTGGTGGTGGAGGACAGAGGTCGCAAACGGGTTTTGATTCCTTACCCGTACCCGGCCGCACCAGGGTCGCAAACGGGTACCCGTACCCTACCCGATACCCGGCTACCCGTACCCGGCCGGATATCGGGTAGGGTACGGGTACCCGATTGCGACCTCTGGGATGAAGCCATGTTGCAGGCGCGGGTGGGTTGATTCTAGGAACTTGAATTGTGAGAAGAGTCAAGACGTTGGGAAATGAGTGACAAACAGTTACTCACCAGTGACTCACGGCCTACCCGTACCCGTACCCGGCCGCACCAAGGTCGCAAACGGGTACCCATACCCGGCCGGGTACGGGTAGCCGGGTATCGGGTAGGGTACGGGTATCGGGTACCCGGTTGCGACCTCTGGTAGAGGATAACCGTGGGAACACGTGAGTAGAGTACAACTATGGGTGTTGCTGCACTGCCCCTCCGCGGCCTAGCGCGTAGCGCTGCAGCAGTCTATAGCAACCTGTCCGTGCATCGTGGTCGCTTTAAACTATTGTCATTGTAGTGCGTATATTTAATGTGGCGCTGCACTCTGATGTTGTAGGAGAAAACATTTATTAAAAAGTCTATTAAATTAAGTAGAACGTGTTGTCTATATTTATTTAAAGTTGCGCATTTTGATGTGACGTCACATTTCTCAACCCCCCCCCCCCCCTCGTCACACATCGTCACAAATGTCTGACCCCCCCCCTAGGTGCGTGACGTCATTTATGGACGGCCCCTAATAACCATACTTCACCACTCTGGTCATAGTACTCGTCGTGCATTATTTCGAAAAGCTGCGGGGACGGCTGAAACGCAACCTGTCAGATTTAGTGATCGCGGTAAGTTACATAATAATTATATAAAAATACACATTTTGTAATTAATAAAAAAACAGCGGTGAGAGGTTATATTCGAACTCGCGACCACGGGGTCGGAGGGCGCGCGCGCTGACCGCTCGGGGGGGAAGGGGGCAGGAGTGGGGGGCAGGGGTGGGGGGCAGGGGTGGGGGCAGGGGTGGAGATGGGGGAGGGGGGGCAGGGGTGGGGGGCAACGGCGGAGATGGGGGAGGGGGGGGCAGGGGTGGGGGCAGGGGTGGAGATGGGGGAGGGGGGCAGGGGTGGGGGCAACGGCGGAGATGGGGGAGGGGGGGGGCAGGAGTGGGGGGCAGGGGTGGAGATGGGGGAGGGGGGGCAGGAGTGGGGGGCAGGGGTGGAGATGGGGGAAGGGGGGGCAGGAGTGGGGGGCAGGGGTGGAGATGGGGGAGGGGGGGCAGGGGTGGGGGGCAGGGGTGGAGATGGGGGAGGGGGGGGCCGGAGTGGGGGGCAGCGTCGGAGATGGGAGAGGGGAGGGAGGGGGGCAGCAGGTCACGTGCCTTGAGGGGGCAGCTCGGCCCCGGGCGCCGCGCGGTGGCGGGGAGCGGCTCGCGGCTTCTCGCGTGAGAGCGCCTCCATCGCGCGGCTCTCCAAGTTCACGTTGCGCGCCGCCCTCCACAACGACTTGGTCACCTTGGCGCCCATCGTGGTTTAGTTCCCCTCCTCCTCCTCTTCCCTCGGCCTACTCTTCCTCAGGCGAGTGGCAGCGCTTCTGGGCCCGGGGCAGGCTGTGGGCGAGACGCGTGGAGTGCGGTCGGAGCGAGCGAGCGAGCCCTCGGCCTACTCTTCCACTGCACGCCCAAGGCCTCCGAACTCAGTCGCCGTCTTCACGTTGAGCGCAAATGACGCAACGCGGCCTTCCCATTGGCTGGCGGGCTCCCCCCTCTTCCCCTCCCCCCCCCCCGATATGGGCGGGGCTCTGCTTGCCTCGCTGGCCAATGGGAACGCGCGATTTGAGGCGCGCGGCCGTTTGCGTGACGTCACTGGCGCCTGCGTGATGTCAACGATGCCTGCGTGACGTCACGGGCGCCTGCGTGACGTCACGCGCGTGACCTTGACAGCCCTCTGCTGCTTGATGAGTCCTTGGGGACCGTCCATAAATGACGTCACACACCTGGGGGGGTGGGGGGGGGTCAGACATTTGTGACGATGTGTGACAAGGGGGGGGGGGGGGGGGTTGAGAAATGTGACGTCACATCCGAATACGCAACTTTAAATAAATATAGACAACACGTTCTACTTAATTAAATGGACTTTTTTAATAAATGTTTTCTCCTACAACATCAGAGTGCAGCGCCACATTAAATACGCACTACAACGACAATAGTTGAAAGCGATTTGAAGCATGTTTTATTTTCAAATTGAATATGGTGTTGTTATAACAATTAGTGTTGTTATAACAATTAGTGTTATAACAATCTATATATATAAAATCGTTCATGTCTGTGTGTCTGTGTGTGTGTGTGTGGACTGCACTTTCATTGGACGGCGGTTGCCCCTGGCAACGGCTAGCCACGCCTTCGCCGCTTTCATTGGACGGCGGTTGCCCCTGGCAACGAGTAGCAACTTTTCTCCGCGGGGTGGACGCCATTTTTAATAGCGCGGGGGGGGGGGGGGGGGGGACCGGCACCCGTACCCAGCGTTCGCCGGGTGGGAAAATCAGGCAAGGCGGGAGGCTCTGCACGGTGCTAGGCCTCGACACCCAACACGCCACTCTGAGGTAAATTCATACAAATTTCACGTCCTCTACAGAGTGGCGAGGGAGGCAGAGTGGCGAGGGAGGGACTCAGCCTCAAAACGAGTAACTGGTGTGGCGTATTAACATCGCCACTGGGGAGACAAAGGCGGCCGGGCGTGGTGGATACAAGTCCCGGGCAAAGCCGGGTCATGACTATGTGTGTATGTGTTTATGTGTATGTCTGTGTGTCTGTATGTATGTGTGTATGTATGTGTCTGTATGTGTTTGTGTGTATGTATGTGTGTGTCTGTATGTATGTGTGTGTGTATTGTGTATGTGTTTGTGTGTATGTATGTGTGTGTTTGTATGTATGTGTATGTTTGTGTGTATGCATGTGTGTGTATGTGTTTGTGTGTATGTGCGGTTATGTATGTGTGTGTATGTGTGTGTCTGCAGCAAGCGCGTGTATGTGTACCTATGGACGCGCGCGCGTGTGTTGTGTAGGGGGAACGGTAGTGTAGTGCTTAGCGTACTGCCTGTGTCTATGTGTGTGTGTGTGTGTCTGTGTGTGTGTGTCTGTGTGTGTGTCTGTGTGTGTGTGTCTGTGTGTGTGTGTCTGTGTGTGTGTGTCTGTGTGTGTGCGTGTGTGGTGTGTAGGAGGAACGGTAGTGTAGTGCTTAGCGTGCTGCCTGTGTGTGTCTGTGTGTGTGTGTGTCTGTGTGTGTGTGTCTGTGTGTGTGTGTCTGTGTGTGTGTCTGTGTGTGTGTCTGTGTGTGTGCGTGTGTGGTGTGTCGGGAGCGGTAGTGTAGTGGTTAGCGTGCTGTCTGTGTGTCTGTGTGTGTGTGTCTGTCTGTGTGTGTGTTCTGTGTGTGTGTCTGCGTGTGTGGTGTGTGGGGAGCGGTAGTGTAGTGCTTAGCGTGCTGTCTTTGTGTCTGTCTGTGTCTGTCTGTGTGTTTCTGCGTGTGTCTGTGTGTGTGTGCGTCTGTGTGTGTGAGGAGCGGTGGGTGTAGTGGTTAACGCTACGCTGCGCTACCAACCCGGCGAACCGAGTTAGATTCCCGCTCATGGCCACCACCGATCAAGATTATTTGAACCTCACATAGGTCGACTCAGCCTCAAACGAGTAACTGGTGTGGCGTATTAACATCGCCACTGGGGAGACAAAGGCGGCCGGCCGTGGTGGATACAAGTCCCGGGCGAAGCCGGGTAGTACAGCTAGTTCTATATTTAAAGTTGCGCATTTTGATGTGGCGTCACATTTCTCACCCCCCCCTCGTCACACATCGTCACAAATGTCTGACCCCCCCCTAGGTGCGTGACGTCATTTAAGGACGGCCCCTTACACACAGCAGTAGCAGCAGCAGCAGCAGCATCGCCCCCTACCGACAGAAGATTGTAGGGCGCAGCGGTGGCGAGATGTTCACTACCTCTCCTGATATGCAGGAAGTCGTGCCTTCAATCCCGACTCTGATTCCTGCATATTTGGAGTTTACATGTTCTCGTTGTCGCGTTCATTTTACTCCGGGTCACCAGGCATTTAGAGTATTTGGCTGCAATACATTCACACGTGATAAGTCACATGACTGAGCTGGCATTTGTGGGCAGGTTGCTTCTTAAAAAGAGCTTTACCTGGTAAAATACCAAACTAGTTTAGTTTTGATTATCCGCCTCTGATACAGCAGCGCCTGTCTTTGTCATAGTCCTCTGCTACATAAGCATGGCTCGATTACCAAATCTATTTCACTATAATAATTGTATCTATGCTACGAGGAAGGGTCATTGCCCGAGACGTCACCTCGTATATATTATTTCCCTATAACTGTACGCGCATCACTGCCAATGCAAGTAACAAAGAAGAATACTGAATTTCAACAAAGATAAAGATCCCCCATAAAACTTTCACGGGCAGTGGGGCGGGGGAGGGGGCAAGTGCTTTTAGCGAGTAGCACCTATGAAGGGTTTGGTGGGCAATACCAGTGCTGATGCTTACACACAACGACAGGTCATTATTTTAGGGCTGAGTCGACCTAGCGGAGGCCCAGGACCGGTTCCAATATTCACTGTCACTTGTCGGTCGTGATCGGGACTCGAACTCGGGTCCCTCGGTTTCGTGGTGCAGTGCGCTAACCAACACCCGCCACTCGCCACTAAGGTGACGTCGCCACGACGCCTGTGCCAGGCTAGGTGCACTTTGAGGCTATTGCGTGAAGTGTCGAAGGCTCGCTGACAGGAGGTCACGGGGCAGACCCAGGTGCCATGTGTTGGCTCACCGAGATAAATGGCAGATGCACTGTGCCAACTTGCTGCGTTCTAGGTGCCCAGCGTTCCGCTCGTTGTTGTGAGCGTCGCTCCTCTGCCCTCCGTTGTTGCTGGAGGGCGACTGCCTCCAACTGACCAGCAGCGTCCTTCACGAGCCTCCTCCATAGAGGCCGATCTTGACACCGCTGGTACCAGTCATCGACATCCTCCCGTACCGCATCAGTCCATCTCTTCTCCAGCCCGTGTCGTGCCCTTGTAGGCCACCTTCTCTATGCGTTAACCACACGATAGCGCACGCGCGTACAGATACGGTACGTGCAATGCAACAACTCAGCGTGGTAATTCACGACACGAGTGGAACAAAAACACTGAAAAAATGCGCAAAATTCACAGGCCAACGACAACATTGACAACTGTTACGAAAAATTTCGATTTAAAGCTTTCGTGACTGCAGGGATTCATCTTCTTGGTTATTTCGGTAAAGTCACGTAGAAGGAAAATAATAAAATAAAAAAAATGAAACATAATAAAATAATTCTCACGACGTTTCGGCCACAACGCACTGTGCCAACTTGCGTTGTGACCGAAACGTCGTGAGAATTATTTTATTATGTTTTATTTTTTATTATTTTTTTTCTACGTGACTTTACCGAAAGAACCAAGACAACTGTTACGAAACTTAGGCGGTTTTGGGGCTGGATCCGTCACGGCGAGACGAGGGCGGTGGCCGACGACGAAGATCAACTACGGGAGTGGCATCCCAGCAATGGAAACGCGTTCGACAGAGGGACGTCCCTCGATGAAGATGGATATGATCATCCCGTGCGCAGGCGGCGGTGGATGGAATTGTTGCATCTCGTAGGAACGTGAGAGATGAGGCCTTCATCCAGCAGTGGATTGACCATGGCTGATGATGATGATGGTGGTGGTGGCTTGGGGAGGCATTCATCCATCAGTGGCTTGACCATGGCTGATGATGATGATGGTGGTGGTGGCTTGGGGAGGCATTCATCCATCAGTGGATTGACCATGGCTGGTGATGACGATGGTGGTGGTGGCTTGGGGAGGCATTCATCCAGCAGTGGATTGACCATGGCTGATGATGACGATGGTGGTGGTGGCTTGGGGAGGCATTCATCCATCAGTGGCTTGACCGTGGCTGATGGCGAAACAACATAACAACGTGAGCGTATAGAGAATTTCGATTTAAAGCTTTCGTGACTGCAGGGATTCATCTTCTTGGTTCTTTCGGTAAAGTTACGTAGAAGGGAAATAATAAAATAATAAAAATCAAACATTATAAAATAATTGTTGATGTCTCATTCAGACGCTGTCTTCCCGACAGACCTGTTTCTTCACCTGAGGACGGCTGCTTGCGTTGTGGCCGAAACGTCGTGAGAATTATTTTATTATGTTTAAATTTTATTATTTGATTATTTCCCTTCTACGTGACTTTACCGAAAGAACCAAGAAGACGTATAGAGAATGCGATTGGGCGGTTAGGAAGATGCACCCTCACTCGGGCACGAGGTGGCGCCCGAAGAGTGTGAGATGTGAGATGGGAGCTCGCATCTCGGACTCGACTCACAGTCGTGGTGGGGGGTGGTGCAAAAGAGGGGGGTGGCGGGTGGTGGGGAGGGCGTTAACATCGCCGCCTCACAAAACAATGGCCAGCGCACATGGTCGAATAAGGATAAACGGAACGTGGAATTTCCACGTTCCGTTGGCGGGGGCCACAACCCTCGTGTCGAGCAGGAATGGCGTTGTGGCCGAAACGTCGTGAGAATTGTATTTTATTATGTTTTATTTTTATTATTTTATTATTTTCATTCTACGTGACTTTACCGAAAGAACCAAGAAGATGAGTGGCCGAGGTAGTTAACGAGGTGGGTTCGATCCCGACCCTGAAGCCGATTGTCTATTTA